CGTATTTGATGTGGAATAATTAGTAGCCTAGCACCCTTACATGGCTGTTGCACTAACCGTTAAACTGTTGCTTCCTCGTTCACACAGAAAGGAACTTATGGATTGGATCATCATTGAATTCCTTACTCATTTTACTCCTCATGCGAATCGAAACCAGGCTTCCGAAATCAGATTTTGTGTTGATAGGATTTCAAGCAAAATTTCTAAAATAGTGTCATATCATATAGAGATGCCTTGAATGAAGAGCATACTTGAGCCCTAGATACGCAAAACGTTTTCGAAAATGGTAGTGTACAAGGAGAATTGATGCGTTCTTCAGCGATGAAATCTAAAGCGTTTCGTGTTGACCCGTCCTTTAAGGGTGTGCGATGCATTCGATGTCAGCAAGCATCGTTAGAAGTTATTCAATACGAAGCTGGGCTATAAAATACCTTGCGTTTACGCACCTATGCATCAAGTTAGTGCTACTATCCTCCCAGACAATTTTGGTAACAATTTGCCGATCACAGAGTGATAAAAGATTTGGTGAGCCTGAGGCACAAGACCGAACCAACTTCAGCATGCGTATTGCAGAGCACCTCTGACCACTGCACTGCACGCGCTTTTGTTCTTACGCTATACCAAGGCGGTATGCTAACTTACTTCTTGTCGTCGTATTGTCATACCAATCTCTTTATGTGCACCGCATAACAGTCGCCAGAGAAATGAACAAATAAATCATATTGTGACAGGAGTTCGAACATTAACTAAACGCACAATTTTAACGTTGCTGAGTTATTTGCAAAACAAATATCTTTTATTTTGTTTTTTTATCAAATATGTTTTGCAAATATCTTAGCAACGTTGCGGTTGTATTTCGCCGAGTACCCTGCCGTAAAAATTGTTCTAGGCAGAAAATAAAGGGTAAAACACACATTTTTAACTTATTGTTTACTGCCTGCTGTTTTTAACGGCAGGGTATATTGCGAAATATAATGAAATATAGGTTAACTAAACACGGATATTCCACTTTACTTTAGAAATTGCATTAATTCGAAAATATTCAAATGTTACTCGTCAGTAAGCTAATTTTCACGCAATCATGGTGAATTTTTTTCATACTGCTCCTAGTACAATTGGGAGAGGCTGCCTCTTTAAGATGCATCTCATGTAACTCTAAAAATGAATGGAATCCTATGATGTTCTGTTGAATTATGTCTTTTCCACGCATCTCCCTCATATGAGGGATTTCGAGCCGGTTACTCGCTAGGCTACGTGGTGCGTCCTCAGATGGCGGATAGAGGGTTAATCGCCGAACAAAAGCGACAGTATGTTCCCTTGAGACGTAGCTGGATCCAGGGGATGGGCTTCCCATTTCCGCTGCACCGATTTGTCACATATTTTCTGTATTTACGAGGCACACGTGTGTAGGTGCTTCAAGTTTATGCCGATTGCATTCTACGAGTCAGTTCGGCGAAAAACCTGCAATCAAGTGACAAGGAAGCATATGGAGGCGGTTAATAGCCGCCTCCAACAAATAAGCTCCATGTCCACTCTTGGAGAGACTGGCAAGCTGTCCGTGAGTATACTCAGCCTCACGTTCAGAGCTATACGTGGGTATCAAAATGGTAAACATAGTAAAAGAAATGGGCCTCATTTTCCTGACCCCGAATGAGCCCCGAATTTTGCAGCGTTGGGTAGGGCGAGTACAGAGAGGTTGCTAAAATGTCAGGACCAATGGAAGCTGCCTGGATTTCAAAGAACTATGGTGACGATCTGTACCTACAATGCACATACACTTGCATCCCAGTCCTCGATAGAATACTTGCTCAAGCAAGCAAGAAGGATAAAGTACGGCGTCATCGACCTGGCCGAGACGAAAAGACGCCGCCCATTCAACGCCGTCTATGGCACCCGAGAAGAACTGTTCCTTGGAACATGCGACAGTGGAAGAGTCGGCGGTATCGGCGTTCTCGTCAACACGACAAACGTCCACGAACGTCGACCCTTTGAAACGACTTACAACCCAAATCGAACGTTTGCGACAAAGAAAACGTGGCTTTGACAATCTTCGTCGTTTTCACACCACATCAAAGTACGACGAAGAAGAAGTCGAAGCGTTGTATATGAACTTAGAGAAACTCTACAGAGAAGACCATACATTCTTCAAGGTCATCATTGGGCACTTCATCGCTAAGATTGGATCAAGAGGAAAATGTCACATTGGGGCTCATGGATTGGAATGGAACGAGCAGGGTGAGTGGCTATCTGAGTTTTATCAATGACCAAGATCATTCATGGTAACTGGCAAATCCAGAAGCTCCACAGTCAAACCTGGACGTGGGAATCTCACAGTGGAAAGTGCCATAGCTAAATAGGCCACATCATATTAATCCGGTTTTGCCTAACCGATGTTGCTGTTGTTCCAAAATTCTACACAGGATGAAACTATCGCCTCTTTCTTGCAAGATTTTATTCCTTGCGGAAAGGAAAAAAGGCTGCTAAATTCAAAAAACGAGATCGCAGAGCTACCATAAACTGGGACTTCATTAGTCGGCTGTTGGGAAGATGCCGCTGTCGATAACATCGACGAAGAATACGATCGGCTCACTCAACATCTTCATTTTAGCGCTATGAAAGCTGAAAGTTCGAAAGTCACCAAGAGACGTTTGTTTCCAGAAACACGCAAGCTGATACGCTAGTGCGGAAACGCTCGAGTTGCTGGGAACCGCGATTTAGCGTCCGAACTTCCAAAACAATGCGGACAGGCGATAGAGGAAGATCTTAAAGAGAGAAGAGCAGCAGTAATGGTCGAAGCTGCAGAGGCTGGGAAAAGCATTGGGGAAGTCCATCGAAGGTTGGCCAATTACAAGACCAAGATGATTGCACTCGAACGCCTAGACGGAACAGTTACAGCATCCAGAAAGGCAATGGAGAAAATCGTTAATGAATACTACTCAGATCTCTTCCTTAGCCACGTCCACCTTCCGTTATGTGAAATAAAGGAGGATGGATATGTTCGTACCACCGCTTCCACCTTCCGAAATTCGACATGCCGTTTCGTCGGCGAAAACTCGAACATCACCAGGTCCGGATGGTATAAGATCAGAACACATGAAGAACCTTCCGCCAGTTCTCGTAAACACACTGGCTCGGCTCTTCACATGTTACCTGTCTGAATGCAAAGTCACTGCTCAGTGGAAGACCGGCAAGAACGTGCTAATGTTCAAGAAGGCTTATCTAAACGATATCGGCAGCTATCGCCGAATATGCTTGCTGTCTGTCGTCTACAAACTTTTTTCTCCAATCATCCTAAACAGGATTGACAGAACACTGGACGAAGGACAGCCATGTGAGCAAACAGGGTTTCGAAAAGGATTTAGTACGATGGACCACATCCACACGGTAACACGGTTTATTGAAGTATCGCGAGTGCGAAAGACCACTCTGTCTCACTTTTATCGATTTACAGAAGGACTTTGATTTAACTGAGATAGAAGCAGTCTTGGAAGCACTTGATAGTGAAGAAGTCTCTACTCAGCACATAAAAATTCTTCGTGAGCTGTTCAAAAATTTCACAACTAAGATATCACCATTCTACAACGATATTAACATTGACGTCAGAAGAAGGGTTAGGCAAAGCGATACCATCTCGCAAAAATTACTTGCGCCCACCGTCTAGAACATCATGCGAACATTAGAATGGGTCACTGGACTAATTGGACTAAATCTCACAGCAACGATGTTCATTAAGAACGGATTGGTTTCGTATGCCCCATTCACGCTCACTGGAATGAATATCGCCGAATCCCCAAATGCTCCAGTTATGTCTATCTAGCTCAGGAAATCAACAAATTGAACGACTTAGCTCCAGAGCTGAGCTGAAGGAAACGAGCGGCTTACAGGGCTTTCAAGAGCATCGAGTATATAATGAGGAGAGCGAAGACCACCCGACTCTGTGCCCACCTTTTCGGCTCAACGGTACTTCCTTCGAGACGTTGTGATAGATACCCTGTCACCTATATCACCTGTAGTTCCGTTGATCGTCGAGTGACTCGAGCGGGCGTCAGTAAATCTTCCATTTTTCCCTGTAGCGTGCAAGAGTAGCCCAGTGGGTTCTGCTCGCTCTAGGGACTCGTCGATCATCATATCTTTCTTCTAGGTTTTCCGTGGAGAACTCTGACCATCGAGTCGGTTGTCTATCTGCACTGCTTTAGACATTCCGAGGAATGCAGTTACTAACGGCTCTTGTCCATCGGTTGCTATTCATACGCATTACGTGTCCGGCCCACATTATCTTCGACTGTTTGTCGTACAGAATGGCATCTGTGATTTCTGAACGTTGACGCAGGTCGGAGCTTCGGATCCCATCCCTTACTTGTGTAAGTACAGGTGATACAGATGATAATTCGAAAGAATTGCTTTGACACAAATTGTGACATCGTTGACAAAATGCGCTCTACTTATTTAGATGCTCTTCAGTTATAAACACAAAGAATGAAGGAAGTGAGTAACACTCTCGATAGAACTGCTCTGCGATGCACAAGTGGTTTGTCTTTGTTTCAATTCCGTGCTCAGAGCAAACAAATCTTGGTATCCGTTCGGGATCGGTAGACTTGCACAGGCTTTTGGGAAAACAAAAATGCTGACCTGATGCATCATTAGGCCTCCACAAACGATCGTATAAGATAGATATGCATACAGAGACCTCTGCAATGCTGAATGTAGCCAAACGAATGGCGCATTCTTCAGAGATAGATCATTGTTGTGCATTTTGTCCTTTATCGTCTTATTCAAATACTTAAGTGTACTCGTATGCTTACATCCTATCCTTACAGGCCGCAGAAATTCTTCCGTTGTTTCGTTGTCTTTCATTTGTCACCTACCTAGGTTCGTGTGTAGATTCGATGAATTGAACGTGGCTCCCGCTGAATGCCAAGACACGCGTGCTAGGACACTTTCATGTTCTTGTAATTTACAGTCGAAAGGCATTTTTTGGACTATATCATGTTTGCTGCTTTGGGATTAGGATTCCTCACCTACTCACGACAAGTTATGAACGATATTACAGATCTAATCTCCAAACTTAACGAAGTTTTAAATTGTGCTCAACAGCAGTATTGAGCAAACAAGCGACAGTATGATATTTAGGAAATCGTGGAAGGTGTGCATAATTAAATCCATGCGGTAGATGGAATATGTTTTATTGCTGAAATAAGATGTACAAATATTTACATTTTTAGTTATGCAAGAAGGCGATTACCAGACAGGGGCATTTGTCCAATCTTGTAAATCATCTATCACGTCATTCTCGGTTACATGCATCAAGAAAGCAGTACTGGTATGTCTTAGATATTAGATATACCATAAGAAATGAAATACCCTCACGTACGCATCGAATTATTGGTGTTTTACTAAGAAAACAGTACATGAGTTGAATTTACTTATCTAGCGAGAATGGTGTTATTTTTGGGACATGAGACTTATTATCTAAGAATACATTACGCAACCTTGGTGCAGTAAAAAAAGTCTCTTTCGTTGTTTTAGAACGGACTTTCCTTGAAACTCGGCATTAATAATCAATATCTTGTTTGATTATTAAGATTATTAAGCTAACATGAGCTTAGTAGAAAAGATTTGGTCGGCTAGCGTTGTGACATCTTTGTTTTTTGGAGCTGGATTCATCCGAGCTGACAGTCCAAGCTAGTCGTCCTCGCGATGTGATTGTTCGTCGTTGCGTCGAATCGGAGAGTCACCTATTGCCACACTAAATGCCTGCTAGTGGAATGCCGACTGCTGTTGAATGCACTGCCTCCAAAAAAGCAGGTCATACTGGATGCCGGTAATAGATCAACAATCTTCCCGTATAAATGGGCACCGTCAATTGAGATTCTCCTTGGTGCTCCCCTTTATCGGATTCGGCTCGTCGAGGCAACGAACAACCATATCGCGGGAGCGATCACCTGAAGGCTATTGACTTCTATTGGTCCGGCTGTGAAAAAGACAAGGATATCGGAACGTTATCTTGATAAATCCTTTTTTACCAGTTGGCCTTTTTACTTTATTTAACGACAAAGCAGCTTTCACGGTGTTGAATTCATTAGTAGTGTTTTTATCTGAAAAGAAAAACATGATGAACATGTTCAATAAGTCAACAATAAGTCATATGGATCGGGCAACTTATATATATATATATACATACATGTATATGTATATATATATACATATGCATATATACATATATATACATATATATACATGTACATATATCGTCCAGTAATTTTCCCAAAAGTGTTACAGTTGTCCAGTCTGCCGTGCTTCCTTCACAAGGCGATATCTGGCATATTCCCATACCAGAGAAGCACATTCGAAACATGGACATATAGAGCCGGTAGACTATGGGTGAGTGGAGAGTTAATGTAGTTCTACGCATTTTGCATGGTAAGCTCTACTTGAAAATGTAGTAGTAGCATCTTATAAAAATATATCAATTTGTAACTGTGGCTGGATGGACTAAGCAAACAGTTGGGTTTTCGGTAAGCAATTAGATGTTGATGCATTAAATTGCAATGTCTCCATTTTAGAAGAGAACTTCGGGAAGAATATAAAGCATTGTTGGAAGTGTGTTTCCCGGGCGCTAGCAATCGTCGGAGAAGGCGATCAAGAGCAGTTGCGAAAGCGACGACGCGGAGGGCGCTTAGTCTTGAAGGAGGCATTCCGCCATAAATTTGCTTGTCACAAAATTATTAGTGAATATAGGATCTCGGACATTTCCGGTTTGATACGTGTGGCTTTAGAAAAACATTGGTCTCTGAATTGTTTCGTATCTCGGGTTGTTTCTCTTACTTGGGTTTTATTGTTTCGCGTATTCTATCCGTTTTTAGATATATTCGATACTGGTAATACACCACTTTTCAAATTCTCCTTTCTTTCCATGTATGTAATTGATGAATGAGCATTCAACCAGTAATTCACTATTCTCTTGATTAGCAAGCAAGGGCGACATTGTTAGTATGCTATTTATCCACAAAAGCTAACGTTTTGGCCGATTTCACCTTCTTCGGAGTCGGGAAAGGTCAACTTTACCGCGCTTTGATCAATCAAACACCTCCATTAATCCAACAGAAAAGCCATACAGCGTAATTTAAATCGTACTGGAAACGAAACAGCTTCCACACACACACACACACACACACACACACACACACACACACACACACACACAATTTTTATGAGTCCGCTGAGTCTTGCATGTGAAGACGAACAGCACAGCACAGAGTTCACATGATTACGTAATGTGCCTCCCTCACATTAAACTATCATAGTCAAATATTGTAGAGGTCTCCTGTGACAACGAGACATTTTTTCCTGTTGTTTGTTTCGGAATTCTTGGAATCTATACAGAATGCTCAGGAAGTTTTCCGCACAGAAGTTTTTGATTTTTGTGCAAGGATAGTGACTTTTATTTAAAAATCATCTCCACGCCTACGTGTCTCGTGCACCGTGCACCTAGTGGGGTGCTTCGTCTAACTTTAAGCTTACCGAATAGTTGTTTTTTTATACGGACGCAAAGTGGTTTACCCGTTTCGTTAATTCATTCGCCCTAGCATGGTTTACAAGAGATTAGATAGACCGTACCTGCGCTCATACAATCACCATCTTTATTGTTAGGGCATATTATACAATACTGAGTGGTTCGTAGGCAGTCCGTAAGAGCGCTTTAATAAGCTCTTAACTTGTTTCTTTGGAGAGAAAATAGAACCTAGTTTCATCACGAGCACATTCACAGTCCCATGGATCTTTTGCTTCCCTGAGTTCAGCAAGCTATACGAGTGTGTCAAAGAAACAATCAGTAAAATAAACGGGCCTCATTATCCTGACTCTAAGAGTCCCCGTTTAGGCAACGTTGAATAGGACGAATACGGAGAGGCTGCTAGAATCTCAGGACCACCTTAAGTTGCCTAAACCGCAAAGAACTAAGGTGAAGATCTGTAGCAACAATGCACGGGCACTTGCATCCGAGCCCGCGATTGAAGACTTGGTCATGCAAGCCAAGCATAAGGTGCGACGTCATCGGCCTGGCCGAGACGAGACCACCCATTCTACGCCGTCTATGACACCGGTGAAAGACTGTTCCTCGGGACATGCGACAGTAGAGGAGTCGGCGTTCTGGTCGACACGACAAACGTCCATGAACATCGATTCATTGGAACAACTTACAACCCGAATCGAACGTTTACGACTAGGAAAATGTGGATTAATACCCGCTTTGACAATCTTCGTCGTTTACGCGCCAACATTAAACTATGACGAAGAAGAAGTCGAAGCGTTCTATATGGACTAAGAGAAGTTCTACAAAAAAGACCACACATTCTTCAAGGTCATCCTTGGAGATTTCAACGCCAAGACTGGACCAAGAAGAACGTCTGAAGAACGTCACATTGGGACCCACGAATTAAAATGGAACCAACAGGGTGAGCGGCTGTTTGAGTTTATCATAGCGACTAAGACAATCCATTGTAACTCGCAATTCCGGAAGCCCTACTCTCAGCGCTGGACGTAGGAGTCTCCCAATGGAGAACACCATAACGAAATAGACCATATCATAGTAAATAGGTTTTGCCTAACCAATGTCGCTGTTGTCCCAAAATTCTACACGGGATCAGACCATCGTTTCCTTCGTGCAAGATTCTATTACTCGCGGAAAGGAGAAAAAGCCCCTAAATTCCAAAACCGAAGTCTCAGAACCACCGTAAACTGGGATTTATTCAATTCATTAGTCGGCTGTTGGGAAGATGCCGTTGTCGATAGCATTGACGGAGAATACGGTCGGCTCATTCAACATCTTCACGGTAGCGCTATGAAAGCTGAGAGTTCGAAAATCACCAAGAGACGTCTGTTTCCGAAAACATTCGAGCTGATACGCCAGCGTGAAATCACACAAACTGCAGGCAACCGCAAGCTAACGTCCGAACTTGCAGAACAATGCAGACAGGCGATAGAGGAAGATCTTAAAGAGAGAAGAGCAGCAGTGATGGTCGAAGCTGCAGAGACTCTGAAAAGCATTTGCAAAGCCTACCTAAATTGCAAAACCAAGATGATTGCAATCTGATGCCCAGACGGAACAGTTACAGCGTCCAGAATAGCAATGGAAAAAATCACTAATGAATAATGAATACTACTAAGATCTCTTCGGTAATCAGGTCCACCTTCCGCTATGTGAAATAAAGGAGGATGGATATGTTGTACCACCAGTTCTCCCTTTCGAAATCCGATATGCTATTTCGTCGGTGAAAAATCGAACAGTACTAGGTCCGAAGAGGATAATATCTGAACATTTGGAGAACCTTCCGCTAGTCCTCGTATACACGCTTATTTGGTAGCTCACAGGTTACCTGTCTAAGCGCAAGGTCCTTACCCAATGGAAGACCAGCATGACCGTGCTTTTGTTCAAGAGAGGTGACCTACACGATATCGGCAACTATCGCCCAATCTGCTTGCCGTATGGCGTTTACAAACTTTTCACTCGTGTTAAACAGGATTAACAGACACTAGACGAAGTGCAGCCATGTGAGCAAGCAGGGTTTTGAGAAAGATTTTGTACGATTGACCACATCCGCACGATAACAAGACTCAGTGTAGTATCGCGAGAGTACAAAAGACCGATCTGCCTCACTTTCGTCGATTTAAAGAAGGATTTTGACTCAGTTGAAATAGAAGCTGTCATGCAATTCCTTGATAGTTTTAGGGAGTCGCTACTTAGTACATAAGGAGTCTTCGTGAGCTTCACAGATATTTTGTAGCCAAGATACCTGGACTCTACAACGATATTAACATCGGCGTCAAAAGATGGGTTAGGCAAGGCGATACAATCTCGCCAAGATTATTCACCGCCACCCTCCAGAACGTCTTGCGAACATTGGAATGGGATAATATGGGAGTGCAAATCGATGGTCAGTGGTCACATCATCTTCGCTTTGTTGATGACGTCGTCCTTATAACACCAAACATTAGCCAAGCGCAACGAATGCTTGCCAATTTTAATAATGCCTGTGGAAAGATTGGTCTTCGGCTAAATCTCAGAAAAACGATGTTTATGGGGAACGTATTAGTTTCGTACACCCCATTCACGTTCAACAGAACGAATATGGGTGAATGGTCCAGCTACGTTTATTTAGGTCCAGAAATCAATTTGATGAACGACTTAGCTCCATAGTTGAGCAGGAGGAAGCGAGCGGCATGAGAAGTTTTCAAGAGCACCAAGGATGTAGTGAGGAGAACAAAGAACACCCAACTACTTGCCCCCAGTTTCTCGACTCAACGATTTTCACAGCGCTAACGTATGCGTCAGATATCAAGTTACCTAAGGAGGATGAAAGGCCACTCAGCGTTATTTAATGCGCTGTCTAGAGGACGATGAAGTATCACGTTCCACACAAGTAAGGCATGGGATCCGAAGCTCCACTAGGCGTCAACGATCAAAAATCAAAGATGCCGTTCTGTACGCCAAACAGTCGAGGATAAGGTGGCCCGAACACATAATATATGAATGGCAGCCAAGAGCTGTTAGTGACTGGAATCCTCGGGATGTTAAACGAACTGCAGGAAGAGCACCGACCTGATGGTCAGAGTTCTTCAGAAAAAGCCTAAAAGAAAGATACGATGCTCAAAGAATCCCTAGAACGAACAGAACCCATTGGGATACTGATGCACGCGACAGGGAAAAATGGAGGATTTACTGGGGCCCGTTCGAGTCACTCGGTGATCGATGGGTCTACAGGTGAAACAGGTGACAGGTGATACGTAGTCAGTGATACCGGATGTGTATTAGAGCATTCTCTTAGAGTATTGGGAGCCATTTCAATCACCCACTTGGAAACTTGGACGACTCGTCCCCACTTGTTGTGCGGACGCCAGCATAATCTCCATTTTTCGGAGTTTTGCTGTCTTAGCCTGTGTTTCCGTGGTGTCCCGGTGCCAGCATGCTTGGCCAAAGAATGCCCCAGGTCTTCACCACCACAGGTAGTCGCCACCTTTGTGGATCAGAAGTAGATTTGCTACCATGCGAATAGTTTGGTACCAGGACAATGGTGGATCGTGGTACTGATTTACTCTTAGTTAGGCTTCCTTATGCAAACGCCGAACGCCTTCTCAGTTTGTGAGGCACTGAGGGAGGGATGAATCCACTCCTCCCCCCTGTACATCGCAGCCCAACACCTAGGAGTACGTCCCCGCCATGATAGGGCGGTAAACCGTTGGGAGGGGTATTTCAATTATGCTGCCGATTTCTCTAGACTTACCGTTTCTAAACACCACTTTAGAACTGTGTCCAGCTCATTGGAGATAAAGGGTGAATAAAACGCATGATTTTTTTGATAGACTTATTTCACTCGTTTAGAGCGTGATTTTTCCTTTAAAACTATTCCGAGGAGCCATAATTTCATGGCCACTAGAAAATGAGTATTTTCTACGCCACTGTCATGAATTCGTCGTTCTGCTGTCTTCCTATGCACAATGATGGTTGTTCAAAACATATTTGTTATAAGTACCCTTTCTGTGTGTGAGGGATGACGGTAAAAGTAAACAGCTGGTATGTTTATGCTATTTGGCTTTTGATAGCATTTCCTGATGTACTCGTTTTCGGATAGGCTTATTTGAACGTTCAGAAATGGAAGCCAGTTTTCTATCGGATTCTCTCGGATAAGCTTAATGTGTCCTGACTGTTT